AATGAAAATCCTGCTTTGTCAAGGCAGGATACAGAAATGATGTTTCTGCTCATACTAGGTACAAACAGACAATTATTCAAATGCAATATTAGACCACTAGGTAGAGATAAACTATAGGTTCCGACGGCCAATGCATAGACGAGTGCGCCATTGCCGACTTTTAGTTGTATCTCTCCCTCCGTCAATTGTCTACATTCATGCAAGTTCTGCATAGAAGTACAGATGTGAGAACCACATCCAGTATCCATCACCCAAGAGGTGATATCAGACATATTGACTTCGATAACGTAAATACCTGAGTTTTGGGGTTGACCCTGGTAAAGGTCTCTTAAGCATTGTATCATAGGACGCACTTCCATGTCCGCGTGGAGCCTTTGGAGCTCCGCGGTCATACTGGCCATAATGATACACTTTACATCTCGTGCGTCGTCCTCATACTTCTTGAAGGAAGTGAGTTCGGACGCACGAGCATTAGCATCAGGGGTCTTGGGAGGATTCGTTTCGAGGATGTAGAGTTTCCTCTCACAGTTAAGAACGATTCGGAGGTTCATCTCCCAGTCAAGAAAGTTGGTCCCGGATAACTTGTTATTTTCCAGGATGTAACGCAAGTTGAAAGGGTTGTTGTTGTTTGCCATCTACAGAAAATTTTGCAAACTAGGTTATCTATCATGTTTAATAATTAATTAGGCCTTTAATTAATTATCTCCCACTATTTTTAACAAATCAATAACCCTCGATATTGATTCGGAGATTTCCGGTGAAACCTCTAGTGGGCCAAGATCCATATTTCATTATCTTGCGTTCCGCTTGGGCGTTACTCTACAAGAAAACTATTTAGGTAGGAACATAGTTCCAACTGATGAGCGGGGCTCTCAGCTCTTTGTCTGGTGTTGGGCGAACAATATTACTACAACCGGACCAGGACACCTTTTCGCCGTACTTGTAATTGGCTGAGGCAAGTCTTACAAGCAGACTACTTTGGTTAGGAATAGAGTTCCAATTAAATCATAAAGATCCAACTCCTGGCTGGATGAGTGAGTAAAATCATCCGACTTGTCATTGATGACCCAAACTTACTGCCTCTGAGTCGTCCATCCATTTGACCGAGACTCAGTTAAGTCTAACCCAACGTGCGACAGCAACCACGCTATGGCGGTTCCCGTAACCAGCTTAACATACACCGTACTATGCTCTGCTGAGGCTGAGTACATGACAGTGTACATTAGCCGGATAGGTGCCGGGCGTCAGAAGGCATGAGACTTAATATTCGTGAGGGATTTATAATTTCGATCTCACCTATCGACATGGCCGCGCACATGTCCATTACTAGCGTTCAACATACATTCAACATGCATTCACAAAACGCAGTAAATAAACGTGTAATGATTGTGGCCCCTAAAAGAAAAATAAAACGATAGCTCCCATGGCTTCCGGTCACTTAGACTTTGGGCTATCTCCATTCTTTTAGATTTCTTCAAACGGTCTTCAAATCTTTTCGTCTTCTAACCACCACGTAAGAAAAGAATCCTCGGTTGAGGTAAGAGAGAGAAATATATTTACAACAAGAGTTTATGAGATAAGGCACGACACGCAGGCCGTATTATAATCAAATAAACTATAGCCACAATCATCCACCATGCATATCATACATCCACACAAGCAATAGAGATATACATACACCGGGTGAACCGCGCTCACCCCAGACAGTTCTAGAAAAATACTATGGGAGTAAATATTTTCTAAAACTCATAAAATTAAATTAGATGTCAAAATAAATCTAATAAAATTTTATAATAATCATTTTATGCATTCTGGATATTCTGCCAGCATAAAAAAATCCAGAATATTCCAATTGACCAAAATGCCCTTTTTGCAAAATTATTTTCAATAAGGCAATTAAAATTTTGAAACAATTTTGCAAAAATCATGAAAATTAAATTTCAACTTCCAGTAATTATTTTCAACATTTATAAACCTGGAAATAATATTTCCAAAATTTATAAATCATTATTTCCAAAATATATTAGTTAAATCTCAATAAGTTATAAAAGGCCATTTAAATTGATTTCGAAAATATTAAATTACAAAAATTTCATATTTTGAAAAACATTCTTTTTCTTACTGAGATATAACTTTCCAAAATATATATTAGTCATTTATGTAATTAAAATGCAAATATATAAATATATATAATATTTCGGTAATAAAATCGAGTACATATATAAATATATATTTATTTAATTACTAACTAATATTATTTTGAACAATATATTTACCAACAACCTTATTCAACTTAGAAATAATATTTCCAAGTTTAATAAAGTTCATTTTGAAGTTTCCCATATTTATTTTCGGTTTTCACCTAAATAAATACAATAAATTCAAAATAGGAAATAATACATTCAAAAATTACAATATAATTTTATCAATCATAAAATAATTTTTTATGTCCAAATAAAATTATATTTACTATTTCTACAATATATATAAATATATATTTCGAAAAATCAAAATATATGTATTTATATATATATTACGGGTAGAAATAAAATAAATAAATTTAAAATTCATTTTCAATGATTTATTTAAGTCCAATACTTATTCCAAGACTAAATAAAATCATTTTACCAATTTTTTAATTTTAATAATTACCAAGTAAAAACTTTGACTTTTAAAATTTTAAAAGTCAAACGTAAAACTATAGTTTTGTACGTTGGCTCCGATACCATTGAAAGGTAACCATGCAAGGATAGGCAGCGAAAATAAAAATTTTAACATCCTAACATGATTATCTTGCCCAGAATCACGTACTAAAACTTATAGTGAGTAGGAAATTTATACCTTTCTCTGTAAGCGGTAAAAACGAAGGAGTCGTAGAAAGAGCGTTGAAAGTGCAAACGTAACCGTTCAAGCGTCCGGTCTCCAACTTTGACACACGAACAACGCCGGAGTCTACCACAATCTTTATGCTAGTAAAGATTATAGTAGTATAAAATATAAAGATTAAAATT